GTGTTATGGAAAGGAGTAAATAACTCTTCTTTAGTCACATTCTCGATACTAGTCACGGTGTTAGAGCCTTCTATTATATCCCCCTTAGTGGTCTCTTTTCCAAGATGAAAAGTCCCACTATTATTAATCTCTCCTCATATGAAAGCCATTCCATTGATGTGATCATTTTGTTGCCCTTTTCTGAACTTTTTCCAGTACCAAGGTATCTTTTTTGAGATAAGCTGACCACATCTGCATGCATTATTCAAGATGTGGGCAGACCATGGATTTATATAGAGGCAATAAGATATTATCTGTCTTATTCTCTATCCCTTTTTTAAATGATTCCTAGCATTTTGTTTGCTTTTTTTATTGCTGTTGCACACAGAGCGGATGTTTTCAGAGAACTGAGCACAATGACTCCAAAATCTCTCATGAGTGGTAACAGCTAATTTAGTCCACATCATTTTATACTTATAGTACGAGATTATGTTTTCCAAGATGCAGTACTATGCATTCATCAACATTTAATTTTATCTGCCATTTTGTTGCCCAGTCAACTAGTTTTATGATATTCTTCTGAAGCTCTTCACAGTCTGCTTTGGACTTAACTATCTTGAGCAGTTTTGTATAATCTGCAAATTTTGCCAATTCACCGTTTATCCTTTCTTCCAGATCATTTATGAATATGTTGAATAAGACTGGTTCCGGTACAGCTGCCTGGGAGATATCCTCTCCATTCTGAAAACTGACCATTTATTCCTTTTCTTTGTTTCCTATCTTTTTAAGCAGTTACAAATCCATGAGAGGATCTTCTCTCTTATCCCATGACAGCTTACTTTGCTTAAGAGCCTTTGCTGAGGGATCTTGTCCAAGGCTTTCTGGAAATCTAAGCACACTGTATCCTCTAGATTCCCCTTGTCCACATGCTTTTTGATCCCATCAAATTGTTCTTCAGGTTGCACCTCTCTAAAATAGAACTCTCTGGTTCAGCAATATCCGTGGTCCAACAGGACCATAGATGTTCCAGGATCAGAGAGTCCCAGGGGAGGGCTGGCAGCTAAGGGTTGGCAGGGCAGTGGGCAGCCAACAATAGGGCTACCCAGCCAAGAGCCTGGTGCACAGCAGTAGGGTTGTCCCACGGGACCAGAAGCTCAGTATGCGGCAGAGGGGCTGCCCTGCAGGACCAGGAAGCCCAGTGGACTGGCACAAAGGGAGGGCTGGTGTGAGGAGGGGGACTTGGCTGGGAGACCAGCAGCCAGCCAAGGCTGGGGAAGGTCAGTACCTGGAGGGCCAGAAATTACCTCCTCTAGTCCAGCAAAATCCCTTATCTGGGACAGGTCAGGTCCCACGGCTGCCAGGCTAGGGAGATCCAACCTGTAGTAGATTGGTCAGAAATGATTTCCCTTTATAAAAACCATGTTGGCTCTTCCCCCAACAAACCACATTCAAATAGGTGTCTGACAATTCTGCTCTTTGCTACAGTTTCCACCGGTTTGCCCAGTATTAAAGTTAGACTTACTGGCATATAATTGCCAATAGGATCACCATCAGAACCCTTTTTAAAAACTGCTGTCACATTAACTATCTTCCAGCCATATGGTACAGAAGATGATTTAAAGGATAGGTTAGAAACCACAGTTAGTAGATCTGCAATTTCACATTTGAGTTCTTTCAGAATTCTTGGGTGAATGCCATCTGGTCGTGGTGATTAGTTATTGTTTCATTTACCGAACTGTGTTTTAACAGAGACCCATAGTCCACATTAAAAACGTGGGTATGCCTACAGATCTGAGTTTGCACACATAAGGGCATATATATATTGGCTGAGTATGCATATAGGTATTTAGAGGTCTAAAAATGTATCTGAAATTACTGCGTCACAGACAAAGCTTGGCATTTGCATGCATATATGCCTGGTGTGTAAAAGTATAATCTTGTTTACAATGCATGTACATTTAATCATGCAAACTAATGTGCAAAACGTTAGCAGTCTTTTTTTTTCAACTCTGTCCCTACAAGGATCTTGAATTTGTGCTGACCTAGAAGTGAAAATCTCTGTCTATCCAGATAGACCTTGAGCTTGCCCTTTAAAATTATTTTCATTAAAATCCAAATGGTTCTTTTTTTTCTTGATATTTGAGTGCCAAAGAAAGAAAACAGAAATGCAATAGTTTAAAATGCATTTTTGCACTGTTCCAGCTCTTAAGGCTTTTGTGCTTTAAGTGGATTTTTTGCAGGTCATTAGTTTATAATGTGAACCAGTGCCTTTGGGTATTCTGAAAAGGGAAAGAAAAAAAAAGCAACCCAAGTTATTTTGTTTAGAAGTGCACTTTCCTATGCTGGTATAATCATTTATTTCAGCTAGAACTTCAAATATGTTTTATATACGCATTTGGAGCCAAATGTTGTGTTGAGAGTCAAGGTGAATGAAGAACATACTGTGGTTTTCTGCAAGCTGTATAACGATATGCACCCTGCATCTGGATCTGAGCTCTCTCCAGAACAACAGCTGTACATCAAGAAGTTTGTTTCAGACCAGATCCTAGTATTAACCCTCTATTTGATCTTCCAATGTCTCACCTCCTCTCTGGTTTTCTAGGAGGGTGAAAGCTGTCATGGGAGCACTGCTGAAACAGTTTCCACTCCCCCGACTGCTTTTCTGCTCCAGTGCCTATGAATAACACTCAGTTCTGCCTGACAGACAAGGACAGAGCAGGAGTGCCAATCAATGGAGCATGCCCCATGGTGTAATTGGAAAATACTCTGCTTCTGGAATAAGATGAAGATATCATTCTTAATAAAAAGCTGTGGCCAAGAGCAATGTAATTGGAGAATATTAAATTGTCATGCTCATTTTGTAAGGCTGGTTTAAAGAACCCCTGGGTGCACTTTTTACCAGTGATGAACCTGAACAATAGTTTGAATCCAGATCTGATCTTTGCTAGAGTCTGTGGAAGTTTGGATCTCAGAGACTGTTTCAGCTTCACTTGCTAGGCTTACTTTGTTCAGAAAGCATGGCTGTCCGAAAGAAACAATTTAGTCTTTAATTTGCGACAGGGCCTTCCTTCACTTTCATCAAATCCTTCCTTTGCAATTGTTGAGCTAAGTTATCCATGTGACCAGCACAATGCATTATATAGATTGCAGAGCACCTGTAAACAGCACTTATATAACACGCCAATTAGAATGTATGAATAACACAAGCCTGAGTAAGGAAATTTTTAGTAAAAAAAATAGTAAGTCCCAGAAAGGTCACCAAATAATATAGTTTGTTCTACAACATACACAAGAGCATAGTGAAAGTGCTGACAGGTGAGAGCCAGTGGGTGAGGGTTTGAACAGAGAGTCCATCACGCATTCACATTACAGCAGCAGTTCTTGTACCGCAAAGCTGGCCCACTTCCCCACTCCTGGAACTGCAACTTGTCTCTCGGGGTCATGGTACAACTCAGTTTCCCACACACACATACCCTACCATACATGGAGATGGAGCAGCATAAAGGCTGAACTTGCAACTCCGTACACCACTTTGCAATGCAATTTGATTTTGGGGCCTAATCAAATGTGTTTTTAACAGCCAGTTCCAAGATTTCACAAACTTTATTCAAAATCGTGGTTTCCATGGCCTCTAATCTCTGTGACAAAACCAAAGCCCTAACTGTGAGTAGGGGTGCAATAGTACAGTTGATTAACTGATTAACCAATAAGCAAAAGCTTATAGGTTAATGCTATAGACTACATGCATTTCCCCCTACCCCTTTCGACTAATTTTTTTAGCAGGCTGGCCAGCAGACTTGGCTCAGTTCCAGCTTGACTGGGTCCAGGACCTACCCCCTGCTGCAGCTCTGGATTTAAAGTGTATCAGGAGCTGGGCGGGCAAGCAGCCTGGCTCAGTTCCGGCTCACGCCTGGTCCGGGAGCTCAGACACTCACTCCGGACAGAGCGGGCCAGATTGCACTGGCTGCCAGCCCCACCTGGGGACTATAGAATAGTTGAATAACTAATAAGAACTCATGAGGTTAATCAACTTTTCAGTTAACTAATATTTAACATCCATAACCATGAGCCACAAGGCATCATATCTTCCTTTCTTTCTTGGATTCAAACTTTTGGTCCCCTTCTTATTAAAGTGATAAACTCAAGACAGGTATTAAATCACCCTATCAAATCAAATTAAGGTGGTAAGAACAAAGTTGTCATGTCTCTGGGGTTAACCCTTTCCAGGCAATGTAATTAACTAAATGGCTGAGCCGTCTAGAAAAGGATAGTATCTCTCCCATCAATCACAAATGGTTGACTATTTTTATTAGCATTGTTCCTGAGGCGCTGATCAAATCAGTCAGTCTAAACAACCAGCAATTGAATTCAGTGAAATGTGCTCTACTGTGCAGTCAAATTTTTCAAGCAAGGGGAAACTAAATCCACATTCAAGCACCTAAATAATAATGGTCTGATTTCAGAGATGCTGAAACCCCACTGCCAATAACATCAGCCAGGGATGAAAATTCTAGCCTGCACGCATCCAAATGTACCCTGCAATCTTCCACCTTCCACTGAACTGCATACTCAACAAAGATTCAGAACTTCATATATAATGTACACATAACATTATGTCAAGTTCAAGGGAAGTACAATTGTGGATAGCAGTGAATTCCAGTGGGCTGGCTCCAACTACTGTATCTTAAGAACACAAAAACCTTGCCAACCTATTTTCATTCCACTCGTACCTGGAGACCCCTGCCAAGACTGAGACCTCATTGCTCTAGGCACTGTACATACAGAGAGTGTAATCTAAATAGACAAGACAAACAAAAGAAGGCACAGGAAATAAATGCACAGAGAGTTGAAGTGACTTGCCCAAGGTCACAAAGCAGGTCAGTAGCAGAACCAGGAAAGCCTCCCCCCCCAAGTATCCCATCTCCCAAAAGAGTTCTATTCACAAGACAACACTGCCTCTCTTTATGCACTCTTCCTTTTTCAATGTAATTTACTATAAGAAATTCTAGAAACTGACATACCTTTAGAAAGGTAACTGAATGTGCTGAGAAATTCTTCATACGTTTGCTCCTGGCTATTAATAAACTGATCGAGGACACTGTTGTTTGACGGTTGCTTTTCCATCATCCACGATGGTCAAACAGGCATATCTGTTCTAACAGTATTCCTCTGCAATGAAAAAAGAAAGAACCCTATATAATAACAAAGGCAGAAAACAAATCCGAGGGTCTTTTAACTTCAGAGGGAGTTTCTGCGGTTAGCATAGGGCAACTGAGTGCTGGAATTCAGAAAATCAGCTATTTTTCTCCTATAAGTAGTGATTCCTTCACTGGGGCTCTTAGGAGGAATAAGGGAAGGCATTTGTAGAATTAGGGCCATAGTTATTTCAGATACATTTAGGTGAAAAATAGTGACCTATTTGAATCCTAGGAGAAAGGTTGTATCCACAGAACAGGCACTAAGTGAGCAGCACAACAGTTCTTGTGCCCCCCAGAATATCCTATCAAACTACTTGCTCCCTGTTCAGGGTGGACTATGTCTAAGTAGTTCAGTTCAGTCACAATGACTGACCCAGCTTTGCTTTCTTTGCTGAGGGGGTGCCACTTAGCACTACTTTGTGGGTACTGGATTTTATAATAGCGTTTCCTGTACACAGGGAACTTGGGCTGAATCCACCAGCTAATTTCACAGGTGCATTGTGTGCTATATTCTCAAGTCCACTAAAACCCAAGCTTTGGGAGTAGCGTTGCCAGGTGTCCGGTATTGACCCGGACAGTCTGGTATTTTTGCCTCCTGTCTGGTAAAAAAAATTTAGAAAATACCGGACACCTAAAATGTCCAGTACTTTCTGATTTTTGGAGGCGAAAATCCTGGGTGCTTACAACTCTTGGGTTCCTTTTTTTTTTTTTTTTTTTTTTTTTTTTTTTTACACTCTTTTTTTC